AGTGTAGGAGGGTTCATTTTTCTCCACACCCTCTTTAGTATTTGTTTGTAGACTTTTTAATGATGGCCATTCTGTCTGGTGTGAGGTGATACCTCATTGTAGTTTTGATCTGTATTTCTCAGATAATTAGTGATATTGATTATCTTTTCATGTGCCTGTTAGTCATCTGTATATCTTCTTCAGAGAAATGTCTATTTAGATCTTCTGTCCATGTTTTGATTGGGTTGTTTGTTTCTTTGATATTAAGGTGTATGAGCTGTTTGTGTGTTTTGGAAATCAGTCCCTTGTCGGTCATATTGTTTGCAAATATTTTCTCCTATTCCGTAGGTTATCTTTTTATTTTGTTCATGCTTTCCTTTGCTGCACAAAAGCTTTTAAATGTAATTAGGGCCCACTTGCTTATTTTTGCTTTAATCTCCATTACTCTAGCAGATGGAGCCAAGAAAAATATTGCTGGGATTTAGGTCAAAGGGTGTTCTGCCTATGTTTTCCTCTAGGAGTTTTAGAGTATCCAGACTTATATTTAGATCTTTAATCCATTTTGAGTTTATTTTTGTATATGGTGTTACAGATTGTCCTAATTTCATTCTTTTACACGTAACTGCCCAGTTTTCCCAGCACCACTTACTGAAGAGACTGTCTTTTTGCCATTGTATAGTCTTACTTCCTTTGTCGTAGATTAATTGGCCCTAAGTGCATGGGTTTATTTCTGGGCTTTCTATCCTGTTCCATTGATCTGTGTGTCTGTTTTTGTGCCTGTACCATATTGTTTTGGTTACTGTAGCTTTGTAGTATAGTCTGAAGTCAGGGAGTGTGATTTCTCCAGCTGCATTCTTTCTCAAGACTGATTTGGCTATTCAGGGTCTTTTGTTTCCATACAAATTTAAAAATTTTTTTCCAATTTTGTGAAAAATGCCACTGATAATTTGATAGGGGTTGTATTGACTCTGTATATTGCCTTGGGTAGTATGGCCATTTTAACAATATTGATTCTTCCAATCTAAGAATATGATATATCTTTTCATCTGTTAATGTCTTCAGTTTCTTTCATCAGTGTCTTGTAGTTTACGGAGGCACATCTTTTCCCTCCCTATGTTGGTTTATTCCTAGGTATTTTGTTCTTTCTGATGCAGTGGTAAATGGGATTGTTTCCTGAATTTCTTTTCCTGCTATTTCATTGTTAGTGTACAGAAATGCAGCTGATTTCTGTATATTACTAATTTTGTATCCTGCATCTTTATCAAATTCATTGATGAGCTCTAGTAGTTTTCTGGTAGTGTCTTTAGGGTTTTCTGTGTATAGTGTCATGGCATCTGCATATGGCGACAGTTTTACTCCTTCCTTTGCAATTTGGATTCCTTTTATTTGTTTTTCTTCTGACCACTGTGGCTGGGACTTCCCAGACTGTGATGAATATGTGGTGAGAATGGGCAGCCTTGTCTTCTTCCTGGTCTTACAGGAAATGCTTTCAGCTTTTCACCACTGAGTATGATGTTAGCTGTGGGTTTGTCACATATGGCCTTTATTATGTTGAGGTATGTTCTGCCTCATTTATTCTACTGTTAATTTCTTCTAGTGTTTTCTTCATTTAGTTACTGTATTCGACTCTGGTTGGTGGTTCTTTATATCTTCTGAGTCTGTGTTGAAGACTGCTAGCTTCTCACTCTGTCTCAGGTAGATTGCCCATTTCCACATCATTTCCGTTCCTCTTCTGGAATTTTATCTTGGGCCTTTGTCTGGAACATATTCCTCTGCTGCCTCATTCTGTCTAGATTTGTAGGCTAGTTAAGTTTCTCGACCTTGGAGAAGGTACACTTCCCTCCCGTCGCCCAGGGGCCAGCTGGTCCCAGAGTTGTGTCTGTCCTGCATTTGTGGACTCTTCCACAGGCTACAGAAGTGTAGTTTTCTTACTTTGGCGTCTGCCGCCTGGTGGGTGAGGCTGGACTAGCGGCTGGTGCAGGCTTCCTGGTGGGAGGGGCTGGTGCCTGTCCACTAGTGGGTGGAGCTGGGTCCTGCCCCTCTGTCTAGGGGCGTGTCTAAAGGCAGCTGTGGGCTCAAGAAGTTTTTACGCAGCCTGTCTGCTGATGGGTGGAGCTGTGTCCACACCCAGTTAGTTGTTTGGCCCAGCACTGGAGCCTCCAGGCTGTTGGTGCTAATGACCCAAGCAAGAAGTCAGCCTCCAGGAAGGAGAGTTCATGCAGATGAATACTCCCCAATACATGTGTGCACCACCGTGTCTGTGTCCTCAGGGTGAGCTGCAGCCACCCCAGCCTCCCCAGGAGACCCTCCAAGACCAGCAGGTAGGTCTGACCTAGGCTCCTATGAAGTCACTGCTCTTGTCCTTGGTCCCCGTGAGTGTGAGATTTTGTGTGCATCCTTTAAGAGTGACGTCTCTGTTTCCCCCAGTCCTGCAGAGCACCTGCACTTAAGCCCCGCTGGCCTTCAAAGCCAAACACTCGGCGGGGCTCCTCTTACAGGTGCTGGACACCCAGTGGGGAGCCTGACGTGGGGCTCAGAACTCTCATCCTGTGGGGTGATCTCTGCAGTGTATTCTCTAGTTTGTGGGCCGCCCACCTAGGGGGTGGGATTTGATTATATTGCAAGCCCACCCCTCCTACCTGTCTTGTTGTGTTTGCTTTATGTCTTTAATTTTGGAAGATCTTTTCTAGTAGGTTCCAGTCTTTATCAGTGGTCATCCTGAAGTTGTGATTTTGTGTTCATGAGAGCAGGTGAGCTCCGGCTCCTTCTGCTCTGCCATCTTGGCCATCACCTAGCTTTTCTTTAATTCTTCTTCTGAATAATGTTTTCAGTGTACAAGTTATACTGCTTTTTAAAAATTTATTCCCATTTATTATTTCTGTGCTATTATAAATAGAATTACTTTTCTTAATTTCACAGATTGTTCATTGCTACTGTGTAGAAATACAGTTGTTTTTTGTTATTATATCCTGCAACTTTAAACTTACTAATGGTAATATATTAATAGCAAATTCCTTAGGATTTTTTAAGATGTTATATCATCTGCAATTTCTTTCTAATCTGGATGTCTTTTATTTCATTTTGTTGCTTAATTGCTTTGGCTAGAACCCCTAGTACATTTCTACTCTGAACTGACTAGCGGGGATATTTTCAGCCTTTCACCATTAAATATGATGTTAGCTGTAGATACTGTGTAGTTGCCTTTATCAGGTCAAGGAAGTTACCATTTATTCCTGGTTTGTTGAGTGTTTTTATTATGCAAGGGTGTAGAATTTTGTCAAATGCCTTTTCTGTACCTATTGAGATGATCACATGGGTTTCATCCTTTATTCTGTTAAACAGTTTATTTGATTGATTGATTTTCATATGTTAAATGAATCTTGTATTCCTGGGATTTTTTGCATCTATATTCACAGGGGATAATGATCTATAGTTTTTTTTTCCTCATTTTTTTAATTGAGTTAGTTTACAATGTATCAATTTCTGATGTACAGCACAATTTTTCAGTCATACATGAATGTACACATATTCGTTTTCATATTCTTTTTCACCATGAGCTACCACAAGATCTTGTATATATTTCCCTGTGCTATACAGTATAAACTTGTTCATGTATTCTATATATACCTGTCAGTCAGTATCTACAAATCTCAAACTCCCAGTCTGTCCCTTCCCAACCCTCTTCCCCCCTGGCAACCATAAGTTTGTATTCTGTGTCTGAGTCTGCTTCTGTTTTATGTTTAAGTTCATTTGTCTTTTTTTTTTTTAAGATTGCACGTATGAGTGATATCATGTGGTATTTTTCTTTCTCTTTCTGGCTTTCTTCACTTAGAATAATATTCTCCAGGGACATCAATGTTGCTGTAAATGGCATTATGTTGTCATTTTATGGCTGAGTAGTATTCCATTGTATAAATATACCACAACTTCTTTATCCAGCCATCTGTCAGTGGACATTTAGGTTGTTTCCATGTCTTGGCTATTGTAAATAGTGCTGCTATGAACATTGGGATGCAGGTGTCTTTTTGAATTAAGGTTCCCTCTGGATATATGCCCAGGAGTGGGATTCCTGGGTCATATGGTAAGTCTATTTTTAGTCTTTTGAGGAATCTCCATAATGTTTTCCACAATGGCTGTACCAAACTACATTCCCACCAACAGTGTAGGAGGGCTCCCTTTTCTCCACAGCCTCTCCAGCATTTGTCATTTGTGGATATTTGAATGATGGCCCTTCTGTCTGGTGTGAGGTAATACCTCATTGTAGTTTTGATTTGCATTTCTCTGATAATTAGTGACATTGAGCATTTTTTCATTTGCCTGTTGGCCATTCATTTGTCTTCACTGGAGAATTGCTTGTTTAGGTCTTCTGCCCATTTTTGGATTGGGTTGTTTGTTTTTTTCTTTTTAATTCGTATGAACTGTTTATATATTCTGGAGATCAAGCCTTTGTCAGTTTTATCTTTTGCAAATATTTTCTCCCATTCCGTAGGTTGTCGTTAATAGTTTCTTTTCTTGTGATATCTTTGTCTGGTTTTGGTATAGGGTAATACTGAAATAAAATGAGTTGAGAAGTGTTCTAAAGTTTTGGGGGAAGAATTTGAACGACTAGCATTAATTCTTCTTTAAATGTTTGGTAGAATTCACCATCTGGACTTATCCTTTTTTTTGTGGGAGGTTTAAAAATTACTAATTCAATCCATTTACTTGTTATGGGTCTGTTCAGATTTTCTTCTTGTTGAATCCAATTGGGTAGTTTGTGCTTTTCTAGGAATGCATTCATTTCATGTAAGTTACCTAATATTTTGGTCTTATAGTTGTTCATAGACTTCCTTTATATATATATGTATATATATTTTTTGTAAGGCTGGTGATAACATCCCCTATTTCATTCTTGATTTTGTAATTTCATCTTTTCTCCTTTGTTTCTTGGTCACTCTAGCTAAAAGTTTGTCAGTTTTGTTTATTTTGTTACCGACTTTAAAATTGCTTCAACAGTTTAATTTATTTGCCTTTCTTTGTAGGGTTGATTTCTTCATCCCAGGAGTATCTGTGGTTGGTGGGTTCTCCATATGCTCCAGCCCCAGACTGCTAGAACAAGACAGAATGATAGACTTGGCAGTGAAGTATACGAATCATCCTCCTGCTCTCTGGGTTCACAATCAGGTGAGCAAGTCTCTGTGTAAACTTGGAGATCTGGGCTCTCTGCCTCCCACAAAATCTGTGTTCAGCTCACTTAATCCACCTAAGGAACAAAGGCTTGAGTGATGGGGCTTATGCCCCCAGAGGACTCTTGTGCAGCCAGAACTCAGACTCCAGAAAGGTTAAAGTATCAGGATCTTCTTGATGCACTGAGGATGATGCAGAGATGCTCTGGGGCCTGGAAGTACCTTCTGGGTCACCAAACAGTATTCAGTTGATTTCCTCCTTTAGGATTAAAACATTTTGCTTTCTATGTAAGTTTTTGAAAATTGGCTTTCTATATATCCTATAAATGGTATATCTATAAATCAGATTATTTTGTCCTAATCCACCTACATAAAGGGAATTAAGCTATCATTCTGTCATCATTTAGAGGGGAAACGATCTCTGATTACTTACTTCTCATGCCCAGAGAGTGATGCCACTGCCTGTCCGTTTCAGTCTCCAGAGAGCTCTTCACACGTGATTCTGAGCAGGAGTCCACATTTGCTGCTGACAACTCATGCTTCCCTCTGGGACTCAGCACAGCCCTACATGAGCTGCTGTTCATTGCCTGCTGAAACTCTCATAACAGAAAATGAGCTCAGGACAGATCAGTTACTTGTCTTCTTAGCTTTTGACCCTTGTCCCTTTTTATTGCCATCCCCTTCACTTCCAGCATGTGCTTCTGTACTTGCCAATAACCTCCACCCCATCCCAGGCACCTTCTTGTCCCCTTTACCACAAAGGAACTTACCAGGACAAATACTGTAGGTACAGATAAGCTGATTTTTAAATTTATGTGGACGGGCAAAGGAGCTAGAATAGCAAAAAGTTTTGAAAAAGGAGACTAAAGTGGGAGGAATCACGTTACTCAAATTTAAGATTAAAATAAAGCTGCAGGAATCAGAATAGTGTGGTATTGGTGAAAGGATGGAATGTAGATCAATGGAACAAAGAGTTCGGAAATAGACTGACACACCACTGGCCTTTTTTTTTTTCTTCAAACGGAGGTGCTGGGGATGGAAGCCGGCACCTCATGCATGCTAAGCACGTGCTCTACCACTGAGCTCTACCCACCCTGCTGGCCTTTTGATTTTTGACAAAGATGCTGAAGAAAGTCAATGGAGAAAGAGTAACCTTTTCAACAAATAATGCTGGAACAATTGTCTATTCATATGCAAAAAAAGAACCCTGACCTAAATCTCATACTTTATATTCAAAGTTAACTCAAAATATGTTGTAGGTGTAAGTATAAAATGTGAAACTAGAAAGGTTTTAGAAGAAAGCATAGGAAAGAAATATTCTGAACTGGAGGGTAGGCAGAGAGTCCTTAGACCTGACACCCAAAGCAAGATCCATAAAAGGGATGGTTTATGTATTTGACTTAATCAAAATCAAAACTTTACAAAATACACTGTTAACAGAATTTTTAAAAACAAGCATACACTAGGAAAAATATTTGCAAATTAGATGTCCAGCAAAGGACTTGTATCCAGAATACATAAAGAACTCTCAAAAGTCAGCAAAAAGAAAACAGCACAGTTTTACAAGGGGCAAAGGGACTGAACACACACTGCATGAGAAAGGACATCAGGAGGGCGAATAAGCAGTGGAACGGTGCTCGACGTCATTAGGGAGATGCAGATTATAGCCACACACAGTGGAATACCTCTGCAGACCCGTTAGGCTGACCAACATTAAAAATATCCACACCACCAAGTGCTGCCAAGGACGTGCAGCAACTGGAACTCTTATGTTGCTTATGTTTCCACAGGAGTGCAGGACACCACAGCCATTCTAGCAAATGTTCTGGCAGTTTCCTATGAAATTCAATATACACTTACCGTGATACCCAGCAGTACCACTCCTGGGTACTCATACTATAGAAGTCAGACAGCTGCTCTCTGAAAACCTGTACGTGAGTGTTTATAGTGGTTCTGTTCGTAATTGGCAAAAACCGGAAACAACCCAAATGTCACTCAGCGGGTGACTGGGTGAGCAACTGTGATACACTCATGCAGTGTTTACTGTGCTTCACTTCAGTGCACTTTGCAGACAAATGAGTTTTTTTTAATTGAAGGTTTGTGGCAACCCTGCAATGTCAGATGATTGTTAGCATTTTTTAACAAAGTATTTTTTAAATTAAGGTATGTATATTGTCTTCTTAGACATTGCGCCCATAACATTCATTTTAGACACAACACTATTATTGCACACTTAATAGACTGCGGTACAGTGTAAACTTTTATGTGAACCTGGGAAACCAAAAGATTGACTTGACTTACTTTATCTCAGTGGTCTGGAACCAGACGCACAGTACCTCCCAGGTCTGCCTGTGTTGTTACTCAGCAGTAAAAAGAGATGAACTGTGGATGCTCACAGCAGTGTGGGCCAGTCTCCGTGGTGTTCTGCTGAGGGAAAGCAGCCAGTCTCAAAGGCTATATTCTCTGTAATCCCATTTATGCCACAATCTGGAAGACAAAAATATGATGATGGAAACAGATCAGTGGTTATGGGGCGGGGGTGGGGGGATGTGAGCAGAAAGGGATGGCACATGGGAGTTTGGGGTGATGGGACTGTTCAGTATCTTGATTTTGGTGGTAGGTACACTTCCCTGTGTCTGTGCTAAAATTCACAGAGCTGTACAACAACAAAGTAAGTGTTACTTTAAGGTACCTTAAACAGTAAAGGATGTCTGAATCTATAGCAGCGGAAAAAATATATATTCTTCTTACAGTTTACATGTCGAGTTGTGTCTGTTTACACATTTCCAGCTGCTTGCTTTATTATTTCCATTGTAAACGTATCCTGTCACGTTTTTCCCTCTGACCTCTGCGTCTTCCCTTTGGCGTGGTCTCAGCAGCCTCATTCCTCTCGAGACGCTGTTTGGATTTTCCACCCATCACTGTCTCTAGGCTGCATCCTGAGTCAAAGTGTTACCCTAGAGGTGGGACCAGCAAGGGGTCCATGTGCCCAGCTCCTAGAGCCACGAGCCCCCTCCGGTCGTCAGCTGCCTGTGTGACCGTTGACCTGGCCCTGCTCCAGAGTGCCCTGCTTGGTTTCATGCCTCATTGACACGTCAGTGAGGGAGCTTTTACTGAATGCAGGGTTGAGACCCCACGCACCATGAGGCCAAACCGAAACATTGGAGTTTGAAGCAGAGGAAGGCTAACGGGTAGCTCGTGCCCCAAACACCCCAAGCTCCCTCGTAGGGTTCTAGCTGAGCCTTTTTAAAGGCCAGGTGAGGAGGGGCGTCCCAGGGTCTATGGTCAGCTTCGCACAGTTCCCTGACTGATAGTGCTCGGCCCTTAGGCGCCAGAAGGTCCGGGGTCTCATGATCATCATGTAGTTAATATGTTCCCTTTGATGGTGGTTTTAGCATCTGAAAGCCTTAGGCAATACCCATGAGATGCTATTATCTGAATCCTTCAGGGAGGAGCTGCAGCAGAGGATGTTGGGGAGGGGCCTGTCCTGGGAAGGCACCCAGGTGTCCTGTCACGTTTGGTCACACG